GGCATTGTGCTAGAAATAGGGATAGAGAGATGATTTCTGTTATCAATGACAGATGACTTTGGAAACAAGGCAATAAACACATGAAAAGGAGTCTACTGATTTGAGAAATATATTCTAAATGCCCAATGAGAGTTACCTCCACTGGGGGGACATATCCCACAGCATTGAATTGTAGTCCTTGTAAAACAGCTGTCTTCACATCTCATTAAAGTTACAGTTTTGGGGAATAAGGCCAAAGGATACAGTCTCAGCAAATTTAACAGAAGAACAAGGGCTGGAAAACGTTTAGATAGTGCAGCTTCTTGGAACTTCTCAATTTCCTCATGAGGTTTGTGGTAATGCGTTCTCTTTAGAATACAATCTTGCCAGGTCCCTGGAAGCCCTAAGTGGACACTAACAATCCTTTTATACCTATAACCACACCATCCTGAAATTATTTTCTTTCCTTGTATGGTTTCAGACTGCCTCTGGTAAGCACTGTATTTGGATCTAGCATCAAGGGTCTGGATACTGTTGACATAAGAAATATCCAAGCCGGTAGAGAATTTTATAAGATTTTATTTGAGCCAAATTGACGACATATGCTGGGGAGCAAGTTCTCAAATGATCAGGAGGATAACAGGTTTGCAGCTTCTTTTATGCACGTGAAATTAAGGAAAGAAGGAGCAGAAGATTATATGAAGGTGGGAGACATCAAATAATTGGGTCAGATTACAGGTTAACAAGATTAAGTGCTCTCTGGAGGATTAATACTCTCTTTGAGGGGTATTTCAACAATGTGTTAATTCAGATGCATAAGAACAATGGATAGGTCTAGTTTAAAATGTTTCACTGGCCAAACTGGTTTGGCTCAGTGGATAGAGCATCGGCCTGCGGACTGGAGGGTCCTGGGTTCGATTCCGGTCAAGGGCATGTACCTTGGTTGTGAGCACATCCCCAGTCGGGGGCATGCGGGAGGCAGCTGATCGATGTTTCTAACTCTCTATCCCTCTCCCTTCCTCTCTGTAAAAAATCAATAAAAAATATATTTTAAAAAAATGTTTCACTAAAGAAGTTAACAGGATTATGTCCTCTTTTGAGGGTGGTTACACCTTCCAGGGGTCTGGAAAAGAGGACTGCTTCTGGCATTTAAAAGTGTTAACCCATAAACACAAGGAAAATGAAAAGGGCTTGCTTAAAAAACATTTACTATATAAGTTATATGCCTGAGGTGTAACTATCCACCATTACCTGCCCAATACAAGGTTATGATCAGATCATTGTGTAAGATTATTTTTGGTCACCAAACTTGTATATACCCCTTTCCATCCACAATGAGAAAATATGAACTTAAATTTAAAATAGCCTCCGATGGCCCTAGCCAGTTTTGCTCAGTGGATAGAGCATTGCCCTGGGGACTAAAGGGTCCCAGGTTCCATTCTGATCAAGGGCACATGCCTGGGTTGCAGGCTAGGTCCCTGATGGGGGTGTGCAGGAGGCAGCCACTCAATGAACCTCATCATTGATGTTTCTTTCTCTCCCTCTTTCTCTCTCTCCCTTCCTCTCTGAAAGCAATAAAAATATATTTAAAATAAAATAAAATCTCCTCTGGTGGAATGGGACTTTTTTTATGTTGTTGTTTCCTTTGGGCATCCCATAGATACACAACCTATTCCAGAGATTATTTTTATTTCTAGTAGGCTAAAACATACTTTATGCATCTATGGTTTCTGATATGCATATGATTTCTAGTAAACATCTTTATTTTTTCTCCAATCACTATTTATGTACAATGGAGAGAATAGATGCAAAAAGTTCATGTTGAAAAAAATCTATGGAAGTCACAAGTTGGAAACTTTCCCTCTGGTTCCAAACCATTCTAAATCCTGGAAGGATATTTATATATGCCTGTTGCTTGCTTTTACCTGGAAGTATCATTAAATGTAATTAAAATACCCAAAACAAGAATATAGGTCACAGATCAGAAAAGGATGTTTACTCTGTGTGCCTAGAGTGAACTTTGGATCTTTTTTCTCCTTCCAACAATATAGATGTGGTTTATTGTCTACAATCCTTGCCCTGGAAAAACACCACCACCCATGCCCTGCCCCCACCCTCTAAACACACACATACACACTCCACACAGGAAAGCAGCCAAGCTTCTGAATATACAACTTTTATTGGTACATCCACATTTCTTAGCTTAGAGACTCTTATATTCTGTAGATTATTTTCTCTATCCTACAATATGGACTGGCCAAAAATCCAGGGAGAATGCCCTTAGACTGTAGCCATAAAATTTTACTTAATGCTCATGAAAGTGCCCACCCACCAATTCCTGTGATAGGCTTCAGCATGAAGTGTAATCATATTTAGTTTCAAAGTTCAAACGCCATTTTCTGTTATAGATAAGCAGGTACCCACAGGACAGGGCAGGACAGTTATTGTAACAAATGAGAGAAAGATGTCCAAGAGGGTAAGAGCCTCTCCTGTAGGAGGTGGGTCAGCTCCTTCCCTGTCTGTCTTGTCTCCTTAAACAGGACCAGGCCAACTGGCCTAACAGCCCTCTTATCTACTTACCCCACTGGACCCTGAACATTCCACTTCTTCCCCTAAGATCTGCCCTCTTTCCTCTGATATTTTAACATATTTTTAAGTTCCACTTGGTTGTTTGCCTGCTGTGTATAAATTGACTAGCTATGCAATTTAATATGAAAGTTACCTCGTTTTAAGAAATACTGACCAGAGGCATGGCAGTAAAATTAGGAATAAAATTTTTGCTTAGCATTTGAGAAGCAAAGAATAGCCTTTGTTGAAGTAGGAGTGTTTCCATTTATGGTCATATGAATTCACCATTCAAATTGGGGAAGTGGTAACTAGTTACATGCTTTAAATTGATGAAATAGTGAAAGGAGAGATCTCTTTCAAGAGACACAAGAAAAAAAGGAATACTGTATAAGAGCAACTGGGGGGTGGGGAAGCTAAGTAGAAAAAGATATGGATGCTGTTTCCTTTAATGAGTCAGCACAGAATTTATAGTCTGACATTTCCTTTAAGAACAGGAGATTATTATAACAAAGCAAGAAAAATAAAATAGTTGTATAAATTGGTCACAGTGATACTTGTAAAAAATACTAGCAATAGCAGTAAATGGCAAAATGGCAAAAATATATCCATCCAAGGGAGGCTACAATGTCTATTTTTCATCCATTCACCCAAAGAGCTTCAGTTCATCCTTCAAGTCCCAGCCCCAATGTCACCACCTCTGGGAAGCCCCCCTGATACTGCCAAGCAGCACCTACTGCTTCCTTTGTGCTCCCTGGCAGCTCTCCCCTAGCTCCATTATAACATTTACCACTTTTTAGGCGTCATTTACACTTTTGCTGCCTCTTCTCTCTCCACGATGCTAAGGATTGTAACTTTCCTTTGGATTCTGCTGTCTGGCAAGGTGAGAGACATCTGTCCATTTCATTAAGATCTGCTAAGATGTTTCACGTAGAGGAAATCATGAGCCTGCATGTATTTTGAAGAATAAAGATCAATGAGACACTTCTATGAAGAAGTAGATATCCTTCTGCTAAGTATAGGTAAAAAGCTTGGTTATTAGACATAAAACAGGAAGATTCTGAAAGGCAGAGAGAAGACAGACAGAGTACTTGGGACTCAAGGAACAAAACTGTGATGAGTTTCCGAGTTTTCTTGTTAGCTCATATATTCCAGACATGGAAGTGATGAAGTCAGCAACCTAGAAAAGCTGAGTACAGACAAAAAGATGCCCTAAAAATAGTCCATGCGCTCTCTCTAGCCAAAGGAGCAAAAGAAGAGTAGCCTAGCAAGAGAAAAAACAGTAACTGCTCCCACTTCAGCCTAACACCACAGAAAAGGTCATGCCTCCACTCAGGCCAGCAAAGACAGAATGGGGAGCCTAGATTTCCACCCGTCTCAGGCTGTGAATAGGTGCCCCAACTCTCCTGCATGGTCACCATAGAGGAGACTGAGTAGGGAACTGGTGATTTCCTTCCCACCTGGTGGTAATAAAGCTTCCCCTGCCAACCCAGCCCACAGTGTCAGTGGAGAGACCACATGGGGGCCAGTACAGGGCACCCTGCACATCCCAGCCAGGGAGGCATCAATGGAGGTCAAGCAGGGAGCTTAAGTCCCACCATGTCCAGTAGCAACAAGGGTACCCACTCACCCCAAGTATCAATGGAAACTGAAGAAGGAACACACCTATCAATAATGAGGCAGTGACCCCAATTCCCCTGCTAGGGTATTAGAGAAACTTAGCTAAAACAGAAGGTTTAGAGAAAGTCCATAGTCATATAACAAAATACCTAAAATATCCAGATTTCAATTGAAAATCAATATTGCACTGAAAAACAGAAGAAACTTGGATTCAAATTTTGAATGAAAAAAAGACAATAGATGCCAACATAAAGGTGACAGAGATGTCAGGATTACCTGACAAGGATTTCATAGCAGCCTTTATAAAAATGCTTCAATGAGCAATTACAAACATTCTTGAAACAAATGAAAAAATACAAAGTCTCAGCAAAGAAATAAAAGATACAAAGAAGAACCAAATAAAAATTTTAGAAATAATAATAATATAACTGAAATGTATTTTTAAAAGATGAGCTCAACAGCATAATGGATTAGACAGAGAAAAGAATCAATGAACTTAAAGATAGAACAATAAAAATTACCCAATTTGAACAATAGAAAAAAAATAAAAAAAATTTTAAATAAAAAATAATGTACTGAGCATCAGAGATCTGTGGGGTTAAAACCAAAACTCATGAAACTTTCTAAATTATTAAATAATTTTCAGATACAAATTGTATTACCTAAAGACCTCTGTGGCCCCGAGGCTGTTGAAGAATAAATATCATCTGAAGGACAAATACAAATCTTTGGTGCACTAATAGAACACCTAAATTAGACTCAGGGAACCTAAAAGTGAATGTAGCCTTCGAAGGTTCACAGGTTGGCACTAAAGGATGTAGTCTATGCAGTGGATGAATCAAGTTCATTTACTGTGACCACCACGGAGAGAGGAAGTGATGGTACCGTGTCCTCTTCAAATCTATGGAACTTCAAATAAACAGCTCAGTGCAGTATAGCTCTGCTGTTGGTGGAGTCATTTTTAAGTACATAGGAAAACATTCCTACCATCTCGATGACAAATGCCTGTGCTGACAGGTTCTCTGAAGTTTCACCAAGAGAAGACATTTTTAACAGTCTAAACACATCACTTTTAGAGCTGTTTTCAACCTATGTTAATAACCAGTGAGCAGGATGGGAATATTTTTCTTTTTTGGTACAAATATAGAGAAAAATTTATAGAGATTGACATACTCAATTCACAGATCTTCCTCAAAGTTTAACTTGTTAAAGCCTTTTAACCTGGAGGAGCCCAATCATAATTAAAAAAAAAAAAAAAAAAAACAACCAACAACAGAGGATTACATATTTTGCCTTTTGAGAACCTCAGAAAAATTCTGTTTCCATTAATTTTTTTATTAAAACTAAAATAAATGAAATTTCCAAATAACTTTTTAAAAAACATCAAGAATCGTTTTTAAATTCTTGTGAAGATACGAATGTAACATGGATTAGTCCAATCCTATTCATACTCCTGCTGTTGCCAGCTCCATAAAAGTTTATTCATGATAATAAGAGTCGAATATCTGGTATCCAGACAATGTTCACAGGCTACTTCTGCCTTTAAGAGAAGTAGAAGAGCAGTTTTAGGTTTGGTCTGTCTTTATTCCCAAATTTGAACTGTTACACATTCAAACATGTGCGAGACTCAATAGGAACACTTTCCTACTGCTATGCCGAGGCCACGCGTTTCCCTGAGATGGTCGTATAACAAAGGAGTCCCAGTTCTAACTGTGGTCATCAGTTTCCAAACAATGCAATCCTGTGAACAGAGGACTGTGTCAAGCAGAAGGTTCTTTCAAAAAAATTTATGGTCTGTCTTTGGAATAAAAAAATATGTATCAGTCTTCTTGGTTAAAAGTTAGCAAATGTGTTTTCAACTTTAAAAGGTCTGAAATTGGCTCTTTTCTTTCTTGATAGAAGCTGAGTCCAGTGATGTGTTCAACATCTGTGATCCGAGCTCTGTGTAATTTCAACAACTCTTCCACCCATGAGGATTCATGCTTCCCGTGCTGTGAGGGTAGAAAATAAAGAAGAAAAGTCACTGGAAAACAGTTCACTTTCCCTGCCAGCCTTCCATGTCCCCCATTGTAATCAGTTTTGACACTCTGGCTCCCAAATAGCAGATGCCACAAGATTTGTTAGACATACTCCCTGCTCTTGAGTAATTTACCATTTTATACATATGATGCATGTTTGTTTAATCAGATGTATCAATTTTTGGAAAAGACAAGTATACCTGGATTAGATGCTCATTTATTGCATTGGTGCAAGAAATTTCAATGGTGTAGGGTTAAAAAATGTTGGAAAACAGAAGCAACATGGATGGTAGAAAAAATGTGGGAATTAGCATAAAGAAACTTGGATTCAAATTTTGGTTCTAGCATCACCTTATCAGGTAAACTAAGGCAAGTTATTTAACATCTGAATCCTGATTCTCTTCCCTTGCACCTTTCTTAGAGGGTTGTTTTGAGGATCCAATGCAATGATGTGTGCAAATGCACAACACAAACACTAGTTCTTATCAGAATCAGTTATGTACATATTTGCAATAAAGAAAAGGTTGAAGGAAGTGGTAAAACACAATCGTTTCTGGTGAGGTAGTAAAGTCTCAGCTAATATGAGATCAGTAAAGAATTAGACATATGCTCTGCTCTGGCATATGGAAGCAGGCAGAGCTGGTAGCTGAAGCAGGTAATAGAGGTGGCAATTGCACATCTATGTATTAATGTAAATCTTTCTGAAAAAAGCTCCTAGAGAAGGTCAGATGAACAAAGTATCCATGGATTGGTGGGCTATGAGTGTACTTTAAAGCCATCCCTCAATAAGGTTCACATACCCTTAGGACATTATTATTGAAAACTAGAGGCCTGGTGCATGAAATTCTTGCACTGGGTGTGGGGGGTGTCCCTCAGTCCAGCCTGGACCCTCTCACAATCTGGGACCGCTGGCTTCTAACTGCTTGCCTGTCTGCCTGCCTGATTGCCCCTAACAAATCTGCCTGCCTGCCTGATCGCCCCTAACCACTCACCTGCCTGCCTGATCACCCGTAATTACTCCCCTTCCTGCCTGATTGCCCCTAACCACTCTGCATGCCTGCCTGATCACCCCTAACTGCCTCTTCCTCGGCCCCCGCCACCACGGCTTTGTCCAAAAGGACATCTAGAATAATGTCTGGAAGGTCATTTGGCTGTCTGGTCTAATTAGCATATTACGCTTTTATTATAATAGATGATAAATATAGACTTTTCACATAAAAGGGAAATAGGCTAATAATTTCCATTTTCTCATTAGCCTCCAATCATCCACTACTTAATACTGCTCAGCCTGCTTCTCTGCAAATGTCTTCCTTCTGGCTCTCAAGGTAACAGCCCTGACTCAGTAGACTACTTGGCCAGTAGATATTTTCCATCTGTTCCAATGTTTACAGGAATATATAAAAAGTACACATAAGGCATCTGTTCTGCTAGGCCAATATCCAGCCAATCCTTAGTCACTACTTGTTTATATTTAAGATATCGGTACAATAGCTTTTGGAAAAGTAGAGATGGAAAAGGAACTCAACACCTAACTCATGGCATTTAACATCATTTTGATCAATGTGATGTAAGCATAAGTCTGTTGATGATTTTTTTTTTTTTGGTGTAGGGTCCAGCATTCAGACACAACACCTAGAGAAGTAGAAACCGTCTTTAGCCCACATGGGCCACATGCTAAGCACAGTGGCACAGAAAGACAGGAAGGTCTGAGTCTCTAATGGTGCAGCTCATCAGTGCACTGTCCCAAGACTGTCCACCTCTGGACTTTCTGTAATATGAGGAACCTTGTATTTGCTCAGTCACTATAACTAGGTTCTCTGTTATTTGTTGCAGAACACAATACTAACTGATACCTTTAATGACTATTTAATCTCTCAAGGAAGAGAAAGCAATGAACAAGGAAATATTTGGTATGTGTCCAACAGCAGCCATAACACTGACCAGTTTGCAGAGTTAGATGCCCAACATACATCCAAATAGCTAGCATCTTATTATTCCGTACTTAATTCTGAAGAATAAGGGGAAAAGATAACTTAATGAGAAATGTGTTCTAAAAGGACTGGTCAATTGGTTCTGAAAGTTTATCAGAGAAACAATTATAGCGAGACATATCCTCATTCATTTTAATGAATGATATAGAGAAAGAACACTAGGTCAGGGATGGCAAATGGGCCACTGTTGTCTACTCATGGGCCCACCACAGAGCACTGTCTGTTTTGTTCACTGCTATGTCCTCAGTTCCTAGAGTACCTGGGAACAAATACTTATTAAAGGAAAGAATAACTGGACCAAAGAAGGCTTAAAAGAATGAGTGAAAGGGGTAAATGAATGAGTGACACAGCACTCTCTCCAGCCAAGCTCAGACTGGGCCTTGAGATCCTTTTGACCAAAGGACTCTACATGTCAAAACCAATCCATTGAGACTGGTAGAAAAGTCAAATATATTTTCCAATTTAGGTCTAGACTTACTTTGTATAACTTCAATGGAAAATAAAAAAGAAGAAAAAAAGAAAGAAAAGAAAAAACCAACTAGGATATCTTAGAAGTACTCTGAAAAAAAAAAAAAACATCTTGACTCACCATAAGGAAAAGCTTCAAAATTGCTAAAATTTTAATGCAATCTTGATGCTCAAAGACTACAGTTTAGATTTTTTAAATTCTGAGCAAATAAAAGAACATAAAACAATTATTTCTAAACATTTGAATGATAACCGAATAAGAGAAGATAATTAGGAACAAACATGATTTTTATAATAAAGTGATATATAGAAAATTAATTTGAAATGTTGTCTAACCAGGTCCCTCTGAAGATATGTCTGTTTATAGGATCAAATTTAAAATCACCCTATAATTTCAAAGTATATTCAAGTTATGATCTCTCCCACAATAATGTTAGATATAAGACACACACGGATATATTTTCAATGTTTAAAGTAAATTAACAAAGGCTACTTACCACACAGCTCTCACTGTTATCAGTCCTGTGAGGCAAAATGAAAGCTAATGTATCTAAATTTTCACACTGTGAGGGAGTCTGGGATGTATTTTTACAACTTGTTAGCACAATGAAGAAGTGAGTTGGAATCAGGACTTCTTGATTACGGATGAGTCTACTGTTTCTGTAAAACAAGACAATATTCACTTTAAGAAAGAAATAACGATCTTCCTTGTAACGAATATTTCAGTAAAGCATTTTTTCATACAATATTTCTAAAAATCAAATTCAGTCAAATAAGTAAGTATATTATAAGTCAGTCATCATAACACTTCAACCTATTCTGCCAGATTGAGAGAGTGAGAACTAGAAGACAGTCAGATAAACAACCCAAATAATTTTTATTTTCTATAGAAATTTATTGAATTTGGAATGTTACAAATTTTACTGTAACACACTGGAATTGAGACATAAATATTTTTTAATACCTACAACTAAGATACTAAAGCAATAGTCTTTTAAACTCTGTGTAGTTGTGGACAGACAGAGAACTGGGTTGAGATTTTTAAATTCTGGCTCCTGCAGAGAAGCCACGTTGCTGTGAATTCTGTTTTAACTGGATTTTCTTTTCTGTACCAATACCTTTCTATTTTTTCTTTGCAGCATATTCTTAAAGATATCCCAAGTAACACCTTTGCCTCATCTTAATTCTGTTTCCTTTGGTCTGAAAGCTAGGATAGTTTTGTTTTTTCAGCATCTTTCAAAATTTAAGGTAGTGGTATCATTGTTTTCAAATACAATCTTATGTAGAACCATAATATATAAAACACATTAAACCAGAGAGCCCTGGCCCGACTGGCGTGGGTCAGTGGTTGAGCTTCGACCTATGAACTAGGAGGTCACCGCTCAATTCCCATTGAAGGCACATGCCTAGGTTGCAGGCTCGATCCCCAGTAGGGGACATGCAGGAGGCAACCAATCAATGATTCTCTCTCATCATTGATGTTTCTATCGCTCTCTCCCTTTCCCTTCCTCTCTGAAATCAATAAAACTATATTAAATAAATAAATAAATAAATCAGAGAGCTCTTCTTAAAGCTGTGAATGGAAAAGGTATGAAATTGTTATCTTTACCCATTTTATTGCTGTGACTTATGAGGCAGTTATAGGGGACCTTGATGCCTCAAGGGATATTAGTAAGAAATTGTGATTTCATAAATTAATGAGTGTGTAAACAGTAATCCCTAAATCAGCCTGCGAGAGACATTCTCAGAAAGGACCTCAATCTCAGCAGAGTGTTTAGTCCCTTTTTCTCAGAGCCTTAATAGCAAAATTACTCCAAAAAATCTTCGAATTACTGTTTTAATAACGATCAACCCATCTCTAAAATGTTCTCCACCTCTCCTCTATAGAAACAGCCCCACTGATGTTTCCTCTCCAGCCAGAGTTGGGTAAAAGTTATGACATTCACCCCGGCCTTCAGCTTTATTACCCTGGTGATTCCTAGACTCAGGATGCCTCTGCCCCATATGGTTCTTTATCTTCTAACTGGAAGTATGTTAATTAAGATAATATCCCAGCTACACATAGAGATTTTAAACACTGATGTTCTCTTCTTAGTATTGAATCTGAGCTCAAGAGTTGCTCATCTGAGCTAAGTGGTGGAGGAACACTACTTCTTCCAGCTAAAAAATGTTTCACTGCCCAGAACCAATGTGACTCAGTGGTTGAGCATCAGCATGTGAACCAGGAAATCAAGATTTGATTCTCGGTCAGGGAACATGCCCGGGTTGCGGGCTCGATTCCCAGTACAGGGAGTGCAGGAGGCAGCCAATCAATGATTCTCTCTCATCATTGGTGTTTCTATCTCTCTCTCTCCTTTCCTCTCTGAAATCAGTAAAAATATTTTTAATGTTTTACTGGACACTGAGCAAACAGTAAAACTAATCAGATATTTCAAGGGCTGTCAGTGTAATCAGACATGTCACGAACATAAATCTGAATCGTAAAGTTTCTGCTGACTCATCCAGAAGGAAATTCCACTCGATAGCTGTTGTTCAGTTAAGGAAATATGTTCTTACTGTTTCAGAGTCTCTGAGGCATCATAATGTCCATCATAGTCAGAGTCAAACACAGGGCCACTGACAACATTGACACCGTTTCTTTCTTCAGCATACCTTGGCAGTAGGGTGCCGTGAAAGTAGCGCCATATCGCTGAAACAAGAAGGACAGTGCAGTTTCAAAAAATCAAGGAGCCATGCTGTCATGTAAAATAAATCCAACACCCTGATTCAAAACTAGCATTTGTAGTAATTAGAGATAAAAGTCAAGTTTGGCTCCAATCTTAGTATGAGGCCAAAAATTCACTGTTCACCTTTGGCCTTTGGGAAAGACTAATACACAAATGTTATATTCAACTCTATTTCTGCCTTCCCTGGACCTGGGCAGCATCATGAACTTGTGGTCACATGTTATCACTAAGCATTAAAAAGAAATGGCCAACGGAACAAGACAGGTCATTCAGATTTATTCTCAATATCTCAATATTTCCTTTGAAATATTCATAAGTATTCTAGATGTAAACTAGAATAAAAATCTATTTGTATGCTCTATATTTTGAATTCCCTATGTCACTTGAAGTACATTTATTCTTGTAAGAGTCAAATGCTGCAGTAATCAATCACGATATAAAATCTATTCATTTCAAGATTTTAAAAAAAAATTATCAGGAACTTCCAAATAGTAACACAGACTGAAAGTTAATAGACAATGTTAGCTCGGTAACTTAGAAAAAAACATTACATACTTTTTATCACCAAAAACGTTTATAAACATTTAAGGAGAGAGCAGAATAATTATATTGGGATATACCATAATTCTAATACTGGTAAAATTTTTTGTATGCTGGAATTCTCAATATCAAACAAACCAATAAGAATGTATTTGATATTCAGTGATTTCATTTAGAGCAGGTCTTATCACATAAATTATAGCTATTATATATAAACACAGAAATCCATTGAAATTATGAAATGTAGAGTTAAAAATTTTTACCTTGAAAACTTGGGTACATTGGTACTATGTTAGTGGTAAGCAATGCTTCAGAATATATTTTATTTGAACCTTTGTTTAGTTCTACAAAGAGAATAAAAAGAACAACTATTTCATTCTTCACGAATAACATTGGAAATTATACTTTCTCATAGGATGCATTTAAAAAAATAAGCTGAGTATTATCCCAAACCTGTAAAACTTTCTCAGGTACTGGCTCAAGGGAGAAATTCAATGCATTTGGTCAAGTTCCTCAACAAAATAAAATATTCAGATATGTTCTTCTTCAAAGAAAAAACTTTACAAAAACTTTAATAAGAAGGGTCCCAAATTAAACTTTTTCATATTTTACCTTATTTGTCTTATTTCAACTAAAGCATATTGTGTTGAAAATCTTCTGTCCTTAAACTCTTTCACGGTGAAAAGAAAAAACATAATATCTGGCTTCAGAACAACACCCACTACCAGAAAAAACATCACAGGATGTCTGCCTGGAAAAGCTGTACAAGGCTTCTTTGTATGGATTTTCAGCTGGGACCTGGTCTATTTTTATAATGCAACGGCCAGGTTCGGACTTCAGACACTTGCTCCTGGGAATGGACTGGCTATTAAGGGTATTTGAGCACCGAGAGCCTTCTGATTTGTGCCTCTTTAGGGCTGCCTCAAATGTGTTCTCTTTCACATACAAATCTGCCACTTTTAAAAACAGAACATTTAACTTAGAAAGAAAAAAGCCACTCCCTAGGGGCTATGTATTGGTGAGACAGCAAGAGCATTTAGGCTCTACCTTTACCTAACTCTTCGACAAATTAGATTTTTGTTTTCAAACAACAAAATGATATCTCCTTCATTCAGATGCATTTTTCTGACCTCACTGAGATTTTTCAAATTCTGGTTAAAAGAAATGCAGAAAAGTGAAGAGTGCCCTACCTACAATATCTGTACTGAATCAACTACCCTTTCAATCAAAAATAAAGTTTTCTAAATTTTACATTTGAGACTTAGTTTTAAAATTTTCCCTAGTAGTTGTATTTCTCACTCACAGTTTTCATCAATCAGTAAATATGATGATGTACATTGCCCCACAAGAAAGAAAAGGAAGAGAGAAAGAGGGTGAGGGAAGAGGAGGTCAGGGAAGAAGAAACTTACGTGGCGGAGAGAGGAACCCATAACTCATTTTAGCATTATTTTTATAAAATGAACATTTATGGACAGGACTAAGGGAAATTCGAAGATCCTCATAAAGGCAATTGGAAAAGTCTTCTGTAGAGAAACTGTCCTGAAGATCAAAATGAAAAGCACCATCAGGTATCAGGTATGTAAAAGGAAGGAGATGACTTTGTAAGTAGCTAAAGGTGAACTACATTATAAAATGACGGAGTTCTTGCTGTCTATTCATGTCCTTTATCAGTTTTTCATTTCCTACTATGGTATTCATCTCTTTTCTATCTGAAGTGCAAACTCTTTACAATATTAAGGACATTAATCATTTGTCATATATGTGCAATTAGTTTCCTACTATGGTGTGCTAATTTTGCTGATAACAGGTGTTTGTTTTTTTTACTCAATTTCAAACATTTATATAGGGAATTGCTGATTTGTAGAAATTTGAGACTACCTTCCATACTCAGTTACACAACCAAGAGTTTGGGGGTGGGCAAGTGTAAAAAAGCCACTGCACAGCAATGTAATGTGAAAGCCTCAGAAGCAGTGATGACTCAGAAGCTTTGCAGCTTTGATTACATAAGAGAGCTGATAATAAACAACCAAAACACCATAGTTGAGGTATTAAACAACAATAAATGGATGGGGACCGACAAAACTGTGTAGAATGCTACGTAGTACAAAGTCAAGTTTAAAAAAAAAAGTGAAAAGTGTTTACTGTGTTTGAGTATAGTCTTCAA